AGGCGCCCCCTGCCCCCCAGAGCTGACCACAGGCGCCCAGGGACTGCCTCCCACCCTCTCCCTGCAGACAGGGTAGCAGCAGTGACATGTGACAGGCGTGTGGCTGGGGCTGCAGGACCCTCAGGGACTTCTCTCTAACTGGGAAGGCGGGGTCTGGGAATAGTGTGCATGTGTGTGCGTGCATGTGCGTGTGCGTGCGTGTATGAGGGGGCAGAATCCGGGAGAGAAAAGCCTGGAAGAATGGGGTAGGGCCGTGGTCGGCAAACTGCGGCTCACGAGCCACATGCGGCTCTTTGGCCCCTTGAGTGTGGCTCTTCCACAAAATACCACAAAATACCACGTGCGGGCGCGCATGTACAGTGTGATTGAAACTTCGTGGCCCATGCGCAGAAGTTGGTATTTTGTGGAAGAGCCACACTCAAGGGGCCAAAGAGCCACATGTGGCTCGCGAGCCGCAGTTTGCTGAGCCGCAGTTTGCCGACCACTGGTAGGGGAAAGCGGAGGGTATCAAACTGTTTTACTTGCTTTTAATATATATTTGTATGGATTTCAGAGAAGAAAGGAGCGGGAGAGACAGAAACATCAATGATGAGAGAGAATCATGGATCGGACTCCTTCTGCACTCCCCCGGACAAGGGATGGAGCCCACAACCTGGGCATGCGCCCTGACCGGGAATGGAACCCTGACCTCCTGGTTCATAGGTGGACGCTCAGCTACTGAGCCACACCCGCAGGGCAAGGGTGTCAAACGATTTTAAAAACAAAAGTCTCTCCCCAGCCCACCTGAGAGGGCTTGGAGGGGCACAGGACACGTGTCCACGGAGTGTCCACGGAGCGCCCCACCCCCCTGCCCTAGCCCCTGATCTGGGTGTGGGACGCGCAGTGGGGCGCACAGGGTAGCCTGGGAGGGGGGAGGGGGCGCACACATGGTATGGGGCGGGAGGGCTCCTCCCCACTGAAGTCATGGATTTGGCTCCCAGCATCCGCAAGGCCGAGGCGCAAACGGGGTTTGGGCCAAACAGCACAATGTGTTTCTTGTTAGGGACTCAAAGCCAGGCCTGGGGTTTTGCTTTCGGGGCTGCGTTAGAACATGAGGCGGCAGCCTGACTCTGGACAGCCGGCCCCTTGTGGCTGCAGATTCCCACAGGGCCATGGTCAGCCTCGGGGGTCTGGGGGCAGGCGGGTGGGTGGGGGTGTCTGCAGCTGGGGTTCCCCCCTTCCCGTGACCGGGGCACCCCGTGGGGGGCAGACCCCAGCCGCACCCACCCGGGTGGTGCAGACTCAGCGACGCCAGCCCGCGCCCGCCAGCTCGCAGGCGGCCAGGATTGTTTTCCAAGACGTTATCTCTCGCTCGAGTTAATGTTCTTCTTCTGTTGGCGGCCGGAACACCAGTCCCAGGAAAGCCCTTGGTGGGAGCCCGAAGCGGCCAGGACGGGCGCTTGACAGCGTCTGTAACCGAGCGTTGGCCGCGGTCTAACCAGCCGCCTGCGCGCGGGGAGCTGAAGGCCGTCTCCCCGAGACCAGGCTGAGCGGCCGCATCCAGCTCAGCTTCCCGGTGCTCGTGCAGCTCCGGGCGGGCAGGACCCGGGGAATCCGGGACGGAACCGGGCCGGACCGGGGAGCAGGACTGCTAAGCCCGGGAGGTGGCTGAGGCTCTGTGGGTGCAGTGAGCTGTGTGCGCCCAGACGCAGGGAGGGCCAGGCGGGTCTTCAGAAGCACCCCGAGGGGGGAAGTAAGCACCCCGTTTGCTTTCGGTGGCTTCGCCCCCTTTCTCTCCCCTCGGTGCCCCCATCTGAGGCTGCTCTCGGTCCAGATCCGCTTATCTGGCTCCAGGGCCAGGGCTCCCGCCTGCCAAGGAGTTAAATAAACACGGAAAGCGAGAGCTCGCGTCCTCGTGTAATCCAGATGCTGTTTCCTCGAAACCACAACACGCTCAGCTCCGGCAGATAACAGGCCCGGGACGTGCCTCCGCCCCCTCGGGCCAGCGGAGGACAGCCCCACCGGGACGCCTCGCCGGACCGGGACCAGTCCTCGCGCCAACGCTCTGGCTGCGGGGAGCCCCGGAGGGCACGAGCGGCCGGGAGTGCCGGCATCTGGCCCTGGGCTGGGGCCTCTCTCCGTCCAACGCCTCCCTCCCCCGCCCCCGGAGGCCGGGCGGAGGCGGCTGCATCGCCTTCTGCCCTGGGAGCCTCTGATGCGCTCAGCGGAAAGGCAGCTTAGAAAGGGCTCGGACGCCTCTGTGCTTTGGAGCGGCCAGGAGGGCGCGGGCTGGTCCCGGCCAGCAGGTGGGGGCACATCCTCCCGCCCCCGCCTCCCCCGGGCCGGGGAAGGGTGCCGTTCTGGGGAAGTCTGGTGTCTTCAGTGCAACCTCCAAGGACTGCCAGGAGGAAGGCCGGGCGGGGGAGTGGGAGGGTGTCCTGAGAAGGCATTTTTAGGAGCCCCGTGTCCGCCATGCCCTCCAGGACCCAAAGCAATAAATACATCCCGCCACCCCCCAGGACAGCCACCTTCGGCCCATCCGCCCAGCCCCGCCAGCCCCGCCCCAAGACCTCGGCTGCAAACAAATACAGCGAACTCTTTGGCTTTGGCACCTTCCCAGCCACATCTCCTCCTGCGGCCAGAAGACGAGGTCTTTCTCCTCCCTCTCCCGGCTTTTTCTCACCCTTCCCCCACGAAACGTGATTTTTGAGTTTATTCCGCATGGGGCTTTCGAGACAGACCCACCCGAAGCCCGGGTCGACTTAAATCACTAACTCACACAGCCGCGGAACCCCGCAAAGGATCGTAACTGAGTGTAGAACCAGGCAGCGTGCCCACGGGGTCGGTTTAACACAGTCAGGCTGGCTGGACTCGGACATGGCAACTAGAGAAAGACACAACCAGAAAGCTGTCCCCATATTTAGCAATTTTACTACCTCGGGGTACAAGCACGATCCCGGGAGAAGGCCCTGCCTTAAGCCACCGCCGGTGTGTGAAGGCACAGGCCCGGCTCTCGCATCCGCGCAGCCGGAGCCGCGCTGTTGGGGGGAGAAGGAGGCTGGCCCGGAGGTCCGCAGACACACGGTGTCCTTGGGAAAAGCTAGGAATGCGTCAGTGCCCCAGAGCTGCCATGTCCAAGAACCACAAGTAATGATGTGAGGATCCCAAAGATGTTTGTTGACGTTGGCTATTCTTGTAAAATAGTCCAAGTATCACATCATCAGGCACCAAAATAGTGTCAAAACAAAATCTGTTCCACTGTGGCACGTATGTGACAGAAACACATGCGCACAGAGTCCCTCAAAAGGCTGGAGCTGCGGCGGGGGGCTCGGGGGTTCGATCGTTTCCAGGCGTCATCCCGGAGGAGAGATTGTTCATGCAAAGCCGCCGGGAGCCGGGATGCAGGCGGCCTTCGCAGGGCCCGGCCCTCCGCAGATTCCTCGGCGGGTCGGGAAACCAGCCGCCTTCATCCATCCTGCAGAAGGAAGCGGCTGCGTTTTCTGAAAGTGCACCCCCTCAGCACCACCCACTCGGCCTCCCCGAAGAGAAGGCCAGGGGCAGGCCCTTGGCCGGCCTACCAGCCCAGGAATTAATTATTAATGGGAGGAAAAAATAGCTCCCTCCGTATGAAGCTTTGCTCTTTCTCCAGTCCTGCCCCCTTCTTCTGTTTAAATGCAAAGGAGGTGGCGATCAAGACCAAAAAAATAAACAAGGTTCTTAGAAATAGGATGTGCTCTCGGTTTTCCAGTTGATTGTATTCTGGAGAAGTCTGATTTTCAAAACACACAACTGATTTACCGTGGTCGTTGGTTAAGCTGGAACTATGAGTGCATTAACTGAAAAGTATGTTAGTAAAGAGCCGCACACTTTTTAAAGATTTAGACCACATGAAGGAGTTTTTAAAGATTTACAGGAGAGGGAAAAAAAAAAGGAAAAAACGAAACAAAACCCTGAAGCTGCATTCGGTACTAGTGTTGAAAGATTCCAAGCCTCACACAGGACAGAATTTTTAAAAACTACAATGTGAAGATGACGGCCATTGGCTAGAGCCACCTACCTGTCACACAGCTTTAAAAATACTGTAGGTTCTGGAATGTGACACCAGAAATCACTCTTTGTGCATAATTAATTACATTCCTCTGCCACCTACGCTGCAGGGCACAACAGACCCGCAGCCTCAAGGGCGGTGTATGTAAATACAGCTTCAATATGCAGATTATCCTAATGATTTCCGATTACGAGGGTCATTATAATAGTTCTGCCCAGTTCTAGAAAAGGCCCCCGGGAGCCGCCTCCTTCTCAGAGCTCCCGAGATCAGCACGGTTTCCAGTCTGCAGGCACACGCCTTTCACCGAGTCTGCAGGAACGCCTCCCGCATCGCTCGGGTGCAGGATCCCGCACCAAAGCCAGCTGAGTGCCCTCGGGGTGTTTATTTTTCCCACAGCTTTTCCTTGTCCGAAGAGCGGAAACTCACTCTACAGATGCCCCTTGTCCGTGGCAAACTTAGGTGCGTTTTCCCTTTGTGCAGAAATGCTGTCTCTCTGAAGGACCATCCTGGATCGCAGTGAGCTGCGTCTCCCCCTCTGCTGCGCAGGACTTGCCCCGGGCGCAGGGAGCCCAGGGCTGCGGGGGACTCCGAGGCGCCGGGCACACCCCAGGGGCCAGGGTCCTGCCTCGCCGTGGGAATTAGAATTAAGATGCGCATTTAGATTCCTGGGGGGCCCCCTCCCCCACCGTCCCTCGCTGCTCCCCTCCTCTCCCCTCCTTCCCTCTCCCCCTCCCCAGCCCTCCCGCCCGGCGCCTACTGTACTCTATTTACCACCCCAGCTGGGCTCGCGCCCGCCCCGCCCACTCCGCACGGATTGGCTGCAAACGCGGAAGAACCGAGCCCTCGCCCCGCGCGCTGGCTCGCCAATGGAGGCGCCCGCTCGGCCTGATGGACGTGACGCCTCCCACCAATGGGGACGCAGGGAAGCTGGACCGCGGAGCCCCGGCGAAGGCAGATAAAAGCCGCCCCGCCGCGCTCGCAGCTTCATTCTGAGCGGATCCGGGTGCCGAGCGCTGGCACCTTGGCAGGCGGCGGCGGCCTGAGCTCCAGGGCAGCCCGCTCCCTCCCGGTCTCTCCTTCCTCCCCCGCGATCAGCATGAAAGCCTTCAGTCCCGTGAGGTCCGTTAGGAAAAACAGCCTCTCGGACCACAGCCTGGGCATCTCCCGCAGCAAGACGCCGGTGGACGACCCGATGAGCCTGCTGTACAACATGAACGATTGCTACTCCAAGCTCAAGGAGCTGGTGCCCAGCATCCCCCAGAACAAGAAGGTGAGCAAGATGGAAATCCTGCAGCACGTCATCGACTACATCCTGGACCTGCAGATCGCCCTGGACTCGCACCCCACCATCGTCAGCCTGCACCACCCGCGGCCCGGGCAGAGCCAGGCGTCCCGGACGCCGCTGACCACGCTGAACACGGACATCAGCATCCTGTCCCTGCAGGTAGGGCTGTCCCCCGGCGCCCCCGCTCGCCGCCGCCGCCGCGCACGCGGGCGATCGCCTGGGCTGCCGCGGGCAGACCCGCTGGCCAGCGGCTGGAGTCGGTGACTTAGAGATGAGCTAATTAACTTTATTTTCTTACAAATGCGCTGTCGATTGAGCCGTGTGTGCAATCGCCGTTAAGTTCTGACATGTTAATGCATCTGTCTTTGATCTGGATTATAGCATAAACGTGTTTAAGGGAACTTGCTGTTCTAGGAACTACTTTAGAGAGAGAGAGAGAGAGAGAGACTCCTTCGATTGTCTAACGCCGTGCCTTTCGTCCCCTTTCTCTCACAGGCTTCTGAATTCCCTTCCGAGTTCATGTCAAATGACAGCAAGGCGCTCTGTGGCTGATTATGGTGAGTGTTAGCTTGTGGCTCCCGCGGGTTCAACTGCCTCTTGGAGTGTTTTTTTTTCACGCGTATGTGCGACGTACTTGTGTGTCTGTAAGAAAAATGTGAATGTGTACTTCGATGTAGGTAGGAAGCTGCTAGTGCTGGTGACTCAAGATCACAGGACATTTTCCTTAAAAAAAAAATTAAAATTAAAATTAAAATGACTTCCTCTGAAGGCGGTCGGGGAGCGTGTGTGTGTGGCGTCTGCCCGGAGTGGAATGCCCAGGCGGCCTCCTGGGCGGCCCCGGTGCTACGAGGTACTAACCTCCGTGTAATTAATCTTATCGCCACAAATTCCGCAGGGATCCTCCTTCCCGAACCCGGGCCTGTGGGATCGGCCCGGCAGCCTCGCTGCCCGGCGCCGGCAGCCAGCCCTGTGATGTGGGATCCGACTTCCCTATCTGTTCACAAGGGCTGTTTCCAATCAAATAATTGTTACAAGAAGCAGACAGGCGCCTGCGAGCGGCCGCTGGAGATCCCAATAGGCGATTGCGGCGGGACTTGTCCCCGGAGCCTCTGCTGTTTCAATGTTTAATTTGCGCTGTCGGGGCCGCATCTGGACGCCAGGGTTTGCCCAATCCCCAGTGTTTGGTTAAATGTTCAAACGGCGGCTTCCTCCTGGCGCCAGGGGCGGCCTCTGCCCCGGGCGGCCTTCTGCTAACCCGCCTTCCTCTGCCATCTTTTGCAGGTGGCCAGGACTTCTCCCCTTCGCTTTGCACAACAACAAATCCACAGGAACTTATTTTTCAGCCTCTCGCGAGGAGGACAGCGCGTTGAATGGGCCTTTTTAAGCCGTGGAGGCAAGACTTGGGGGGGATCAGCCCTCTGCCCCAGGGTGTGTGTCTGGCCTGGCCTGTGAGAGCGTTATTTATGAAAAAGACTTTTCAATGCCCTTTCTGAAGTCGGAAGGTTTCTTCGTATACTCTCCCTCCATGGGGAGCGAACACTTTAAAATCACAAGGAGTTGCCCAATTTCAGCAGACTTTGCCTTTTTTCTCAAAGGTGGAGCGTGACTACCAGAAGGATCCAGTATTCAGTTACTTAAATGGAAGTCTTTTGGTCAGAAATTTACCTTTTTGACACAAGCCTACTGAATGCTGTGTATATATTTATACATAAGTATATACATACATATATATATATTGAGTGGAGCCTGGCGAACTCGTTCACGAGTTTGCTTGTACAGCGGCAGAGATGCCCATTTCTGCAGGCTACGTGTAATGATGTACTCGTTCACGCTAAACTTTTTATAAAAGTTTAGTTGTACACTTAACCCTTTTATACAAAGAAAATAAATCGAGTGTGTTTATTGAATGGTGATTGCCTGCTTTATTTCAGGGGACCAGTGCTATGATTTTTATTCTGCTATGTTATAACTGAACCCGAATCCATGCAAGCTCACGTGTATGTAGGCTGTGTAACGATGATAATAAACCATGTCTGGAGTCAACCCCTGGATTCTGGGTGGTTTTTCAGAGCTGGCTCTTCCTCTCTCTGGCTCTTCCTCCATTTGATGTAACCCTCTCCGTCCCCCTCCCACCGTCCTCAGCCTTGGAGTTGGTGTGCTGAGAATCTTATGCAGCGGTTCTCAACCTGTGGGTCGCAATCCCTTTGGGGGTCGAACGACCCTTTCACAGGGGTCGCCTAAGACCATCAGAAAACACATATATAATTACATATTGTTTTTGTGATGAATCACTATGCTTTCATCATGTTCAATTTGTAACAATGAAATTGGGGGTCACCACAACATGAGGAACTGTATTAAAGGGTCGCGGCATTAGGAAGATTGAGAACCGCTTAATTCTTACGGGTCGTTTGTTGTTGGTTTATTAATGGAGTTTTTACTAGTTTTATATGTGTTAGTTGGTGAAGAGTTGAAGGTAGTTTTTGAATTTAATGAGATTGGGGATTGAGCTATCTATGACACAGGTGATTCTGGAGTATTTACTAAAGAGTCCATGGGAGTA